ATGTCAGTATAACCAAACCAAAAAACCAAACACACTGCCATTGAGTCAATTCCAATTCATAGTGACCCTATTGGACAGAGCAGAACCTCCCCATAGGGTTTCCAAGGAGCTGCTGGTGGATTCAAACTGCGTACCATTTGGTTAGTAGCCATAGCTCACCATAGCTCTTAACCATTGTGCAACCAGGGCAATATAGAACTACCAAAAACAAATTCACTGCCATCCAGTCGATTCCAACTCATAGCGACCCCATAGGGTTTCCAAGGCTGTAAATCTCTATGGAAGCAGGCTGCCACATCTTTCTCCAGCGGAGCCACTGATGGTTTCAAACTGCCAACTTTTGGGTTACCAGTCTATCACTTTAACCACTGCGCCACCAGGGCTCCTAGGATAGAACTGGAGAGTTTGAAATGGTGCAAGGATTCCCATGGAGGTGGGAAGTGGAAGCGGTGTCTTGAGTGCCCAGTGGCATTTTTTTCATGCCTAAAGCCCAAAGAGTAATTAACACCACTGGCTTAGATGCCAGACTGCCTGAGTTTCAAGCTGGAACTCACAGTGACCCTGTGTAAACGTTGCTTGGTCCTGCACCATTCTCACAGTCTTTGGTATGTTTCGGTCCATTCTTGCAGCCATGTGTCACTCCATCTCATGGAGAGTGTCCCTCATTTTGCTGACACTGTACTTTATCAAATATGATGTCCTTTTTTAACAACAGGTTTTTCCTGATGACTTGTCCAAAGTAAGCTTGACCAAGTCTCCTCATCCTCCATCACTTCTAAGGAGCATTTTAGCTGTGCCTTATATTTTATTTTACAATTATTTTTTTTTTTTTACATTTTACTTTTTTTTTTTATTATGGTACTCTAGATGAAGGTTTACAGAACAAACTAGCCTCTCATTAAACGTTTAGTACACATATTGTTTTGTGACATTGGTTACCAACCCCGCGACGTGTCAATGCTCTCCCTTCTTGATCTTGGTTTCCCTATTACTAGCTTTCCTGTCCCTCCTGTCTTTTAGTCCTTGCCCCTGGGCTGGTGTGCCCCTTTAGTCTCATAGGCCTGTCTAACCTTTGGTTACAGGGTGCACTTCAGGAGTGACTTCATTACTGAACTAAAAGGGTGTCTGGGGGCCATGTTCTCAGGGGGTGCCTTATATTTTATGTTTTCTATTACTTTAACTATATGGAAGAGTAGTGCTTATACTAGAAGTCTTTGCATGGCACTGAGTCTGTTGTTATCATTAGGTGCCATCAACTCCAAATTAATTTTTTTACTAATTTTCTAATATAAATTTTTGTGTTAACGTCCAAATATGAATGTAAATATTATTTTACAAACTTTATTCATTTTATAAATTTTATTTATTTTTCATTATTCAAATTTATTTGTTATAGTAGAAGCAAATATAAAAAGTGACACAATTTTATATCCAGATAAAATGAAACAGCAACAACTAAGCAGAGTGGAAAAATGAAAGCTTGTAGATGATAAAAAGAAAAGGATCTGTGAATTCCTAAAGACAATTCCAGAACCCTAGTGGCTAAGTGGTTAAGAGCTAGGCTGCTAACCAAAACGTTGGTAGTTCAAATCCACCAGATGCTCCTTGGAAACCCTATAAGGCAGTTCTACTATATCTTATAGGGTTGCTATGAGTCAGAATCAACTCAACGGTGATGGGTTTTTTCAGAAAGACAATTCCAAAATTAAATCCCTTTTTAAAATACAATGAATCAGAAAAGACTTCCATTGCATTCTCAAGCTTAATGGGTGGAAATTGTTGTATTAGTACTGCTAGTGCTGAAATTACTAATAGAAATAGGAATATAACAGAATTTGTCCCAAATTCTGCATCCATTCCTTACTGTAGTTAAAAAAATTAGTAATAGTGTAGAAAGTGAAACTATTTTAGAATCTGAAATTGTCACATTTGCAGACCCTGTAAATAACAGAAATACAAATCCTACTTTGTGGAATTATTTTTCTTCTAATGATGTAAATTATTGGATCAAAAGAGGGCCGGCCAAGTGATTGTCAGCATCACAGTGGACTGTTTGAAAATTCATTACTAAAAATTTCTGGATGGTAAACAAACAGGATTCTGTAGCCAGAATATATTTCTAGGGTGCAAAGCTATTGGCTAAAATTGTAAGAGGAGTGGCTACCATGTTCTTCATCAGTTGGCTCTGTATATTGTTTTATTTGCAAACTGTTCGGTCCTGAATTGTTTCATTCTCAATTTGCTACTGATGGATTCAGCAATTGGTGCAACTCAAATATGATTGATAAACATGAAAACAGTTCCATTCACAGAGATTTTATGTTGTCATTGTTAAACTGAAGACATGGTTTTGGCTTAACTCATGAACTGGAAACACAAATTAGTGAAGAATGTCAGTATTGGAAAGCCATTTTGCAATGCATTGTTGCTGTCATGATAACAATTGAAGACTAGATGAGTTGTGGAATGACATCAAGGATATCATACATGAAGAAAGCAAGAGTTCATTAAAAAGACAGGAAAGAAAGAAAAGATCAAAATGGATGTCAGAGGAGACTTTGAAATTTGCTTTTGAATATAGAGTAGCTAAAGCAAAAGGAAAAAATGATGAAGTAAAAGAGCTGAACAGAAGATTTCAAAGAGTGGCTCGAGAGGGCAAAATAAAGTATTATGAGGACATGTGCAAAGATTGATGATAGAAAACCAAAAGGGAAAAACATGCTCAGCATTTCTCAAGCTGAAAGAACTGAAGAAAAAATTCAGACTTGAGTTGCAATATTGAAGGATTCTACAAGGAAAATACTGAACTATGCAGTAAACATCAAAAAAAAAGATGGAAAGAATACACAGAGTCACTGTACCAAAAAGAATTGGTCAAAGTTCAACCATTTCAGGAGGCACCAAATGATCAAGAACCAAAGGAAGAGGTTCAAGTTGCACTGAAGGCATTGCGAAAAACAAGGCTCCAGGAATTGACAGAATACCAACTGAGATATTTCAACAAACTGATGCAGCACTGGAAGTGCTCACTCATCTATGCCAGGAAATTTGGAAGACAGCTACCTGAACAACCAACTGGAAGATCCATACTTGTACACATTCCAAAGAGAGGTACTGCAATAGAATGCAGAAATTCTCAAACAATATAATTAATATCACACACAAGTAAAATTTTGCTGAAGATCATTCGAAAGTGGCTGCAGCTGTACATTGAAGGGAACCGTCAGAAATTCAAGCCAAATTCAGAAGAGGACATGGAACAAGGGATATCACGTGATATCAGTTGGATCATGACTGAAAGCAGAAAATACCAGAAAGATGTTTACCTGTGCTTTATTGACTATGAAAAGGCATTTGACTGTGTGGATCACAACAAATTATGGATAACATTGCGAAGATTGGGAATTCCAGAACACTTAATTGTGCTCATGAGGAACTTGTACTTAAACCAAAAGGCAGTTGTTCGAACAGAACAAGGGGATACTGCATGGTTGAATGTCAAGAAAGGTGTGCGTCAGAGTTGTATCCTTTCACCATACTTCTTCAATCTGTATGCTGAGCAAATGATTGAAGAAGCTGGAATATATGAAGAAGAACGGGGCATCAGGATCAGAGGAAGACTCATTAACAATCTGCAATATGCAGATGACACAACCTTCTTGCTGAAGGTGAAGAAGATTTTAAGTACTTACTGACGTAGATCAAAGACCACAGCCTTCAGTATGGATTACACCTCAACATAAAGAAAACAAAAATCCTCTCAACTGGACCAATAAGCAACATCACGATAAACAGAGAAAAGATTGAAGTTGTCAAGGATTTCATTTTACTTGGATACACAATCAACACTGATGGAAGTAGCAGTCAAGAAATCAAAAGATGCATTGCATTGGGCAAATCTGCTGCAAAAGATCTTTTTAAAATGTTAAAAAGCAAAGATGTCACTTTAAGGATTAAGGTGTACCTGACCCAAACCATGGTGTTTTCAATTGCCTCATATGCATGTGAAAGCTGGACAATGAATAAGGAAGACCAAAGAAGAATTGATGCCTTTGAATTTGGTGTTGGTGAAGAATATTGAATATACCATGGACTGCCAGAATGAACAAATCTGTCTTGGAAGAAGTACAGCCGGAATGCTCCTTATAAGCAAGGATGGCAAGAATTCATCTCACATACTTTGGACATGTTATCAGGAGGGACCAGTTCCTGGAGCAGTACATTAGGCTTATTAGAGAGTCAGCGAAAAAGAGGAAGAGCCTTTGTGAGATGGATTGACATCGTGGCTGCAACAATGGGCTCAGGCATAAGGCACAGGACCCAGCAGTGTTTCATTCTGTTGTACATAGGGTCACTGTGAGTTGGAACAGACTCGACAGCACTTAACAAGAAAAGCATTAACATCATATTTAAATAATATTACCACCGTTCATACAGCCTCTGGTATAAAGTTTATATCCTTCTTTAATTAGCAGCTATCAAAATTAATGATTTACCATAGAAGTATAGAATTGTGACATATTTTACAGAGAACCCAGAGCATTATTGATGTGTACCAGCTTTGACTTATTAGTGGCAGATGGCGATTGTAAGAACTATTTGGTCCTAGAAGTAGCAACAGAAGAAAGACTTTGAGTTGCTGGTGTCATGGTGTGTTCATGGCAGAAATTAGAAACTATTCTTTCTGGAAAATATTGGAGTGTTCTCTTTTCTTCAGACACAAGGCAATATTCTAGAACGGTGGATGGATATGAAATGAAAGATACAAAGAAATGCTCTGTTCTGAAAAACAACACCCAGAATGAATAATTCATGGTGATCCCTTACCTTCCTTGATAGTCTAATTGCCCAAGTGCTGAAAGATGACACAGAGCTGAGTGATGTGTATAGTTCGGGAAGGTTTAAGGGTGGGATCCACCAGTACCACTACATTTGGTTCATGAGCAAATGTTGACCTGGTTTCCTCAGAGAAGCAAACCAGAGAGACCTGGGAAAAGACAATGGAAGCTAATATCAAGCTCATGCAAGTTATTCAGGAAATGCGGACAGAGATCAACAAACTGGAGAAAGAGAATCAAGCCCTCCAGATGAAACTGTCTTCAAGTAATCAGAAAACATTAGGCTCAGGGGAAGAATCAGGAGATAAACGGGACGAGGAAGCCACAGACATTGGTAACCAAGGAGAAGCCCCTGCACAATCGTCAGATGCGCTGCCTGATAGTTTTTCCACTGTTTCAGCGCCAGCTCTGCGGGAACACCAAGGTACTGAACATTCATTGCTCTCCTGGGCTGTGCCTGCCTTTGCAAAATATCTCCTAAATACTAGGCTTATTATGCTTATCACATCACTGCATAATTTGAGATTTTTGTTGCTTTTGTTAGCTGCCATTGAGTGAGTCCCCTACTCACAGCAACCCTATGCACACGGAACCAAGCTCTGTTCGGTCCTGCACCATATCCAATGTCAGTTGTGTATAGATCAGTTGTGATCCATAGGGTTTTCACCGGCTGATTTTCAGAATAGCCAGGCCTTTCTTCCTAATCTGTCTTTGTCTAGTAGCTTCACTGAAACCTGCTCAGCATCATGGTAACACACAAGCCTCTGCTGACAGACGGGTGGTATTTGTACATGAGGTGCACTGGTTAGGAATGGAACCCTGGTCTCCCGCATGGAAGGCGAGAATTCTACCACTGAACCAAAGCTGCCCTCATTAATGGTGGGGAATTTCATTCTTTTTGTCCTGGTAGCTTAGCTTTGAATCTGTAGACAAAAATTTCTTCAGCATCTTCTAGCAAAATGTTTTAGCAACAAACTCTAGATATGTCATCATAAGAATAAAATAAGAAGTTTGTGGTAATCAATCACTTTCAAAATAATGCGTTTTTCTCCCTTGACTTCAATGTTCATATGCTACATAAGAGAACGCTGAATGTCTGTATGTCATATGGCTTGCTCACTTGTTAAGCTGGAACAGCACTGCACAACAGTTAAAGGCATGGATAGCACAGTTGGATGAATCTGTTTGCAAGTGATTTGTCAGTCATTAGCTGCTTGAATCTGAGCTGGTTATTGAACAACTTTAACCTTCACTTTCTTCTTCTGGAAGTAGGAATCATTATAGTATCTATATCAGAGAGTTGTGTGCTTAAATGCAGTAATTTAGAGTAAGTGCTTAGCATAGCATCTGGTAAGCACACACAAATAACAGATATTATTTTTTATCCACATTTTACAAAGAATTTTATCACCCTAAATGAATATATTTGTACATAATTCAAGCTAGTCTACAGACTAGAGACTTCGAGACACGGAGGCAGTGTTTGATATATTCTAAAAATCAAATCTCTCATCTTTTGTGAGAAAGAAATTTTGACTGTGAAGATTACCCATGAGGTCAAAAAACAGCAGAGAAATATGCTCTACATTTAAATTGTCAGTGCTTGCCTAAGCACAACAAATTCAAATAAAACTGACATACATAGTTAAATGCACAAATCTCTTAAAACCGTCTGTCAAAGACTGCAAGCAATGCCGTTTAGGGACTCTGGACAGCTTGACAATGGAAGCTGTCATAGTTACCAGTTGGTTCTCTGTCTCTTCAAGAGGTCTCCCTCTAGTATGGGACTCTGTATTTCAAAGCTACGAACAGATTCCATCAGGGTATTTTTCCTTTTTGTCAAGTACAACTCTGGATCTGAGTAGCACGCTCTGCTGGTTATTTAATAAAACTGTGAGAGATTAACCTATAAGAAGGTTAGACCTTCTCCTAGTGAAAAATGTATGGACATTTGTAATGTACACTTACTTCAGGATTTCTCAACCTCTATACTATTGACATTTTGGATTGAATACTTCTTTGGTAAATGGAGCCTTGGTGGCCAAATGGTTAAATTGTTCAGCTGCTAATCAAAAGTTTGGTGGTTCGAACCCACCAGCTGCTCCATGACAGAAAGATGTGGCAGTCTTTTTCTATAAAGATTACATCCTTGGAAATCCCATGGGGAAGTTCTACACTGTTCTGTTGGGGTCACTATGAGTCGGAATCTATTCGACAACATTGGGTTTGGTTTTGGTTCTTGAATTCTTTGTTGTGGGGGCTGCCCTGGGCATTGTAAATGTCTAGCAGCAGCCCTGGCCTCTACCCACTAGATGCCAATAGTACCTGCCACCTCTCAGTCATGACAATCAAAATATCTCCAGACATTTCAAAATACCACCTGGGGGGCAAAATTGCCTCCCGTTTAGAACCACTGCATTATTCCAAAGGCAAATAACATTCCTTTAAGTCTATTTTCTGTGGTGTTTATCTTAATGAGTAAGTAAGTTAGGTCTTGACATATGTCTGTTCTATTCTGAAACAAATCTTAGGCTGATGTTTAAAGAACACTAAACTCTGAAGGCCTGAATGCTATCAAGCTTAGAGGATATTAGAATATTAATTAGACCTAAAAACACAATTGATATCATACTTCTTCAGCATATGGGTGGTAACATGCAATAAAAATATATGCATTAATTTTTTTTCAAGAATATAGATTTTTTTCTTGTTGTTGAAAGTGTATTAGCATTAAATTTGACAATGGTGAAGAATGTTTGATGAAATTTTGGAAACTTGCCAGTTGCACCAATAAAACACAGAAGGAAATGTAATTTAAATTTGTTCTCAGGGGCCCAGATGAGTAAATTTATATGATATTTATTTGTGTCTTATATGTGATCGACTGTTACGAGAGTAAGTAACATGAAATAATAGAGATGAAAAAAAGAAAAAAAAAAACCACTGCCCTGGGCATCAGGAGATGAGGGTTGCAGTCCCAGTTTTATAATAGTTGTGAAACACTGGGCAAGTCACATAAAATCTCTGATTCTGAGATTCTCTTGTAAAACTGAATGGATTGGACTAGCTGCCTTCCAAGGCCTCTTCTAGCTGTAAAGTTCTATGATTCTGTAAATGTAACATGCTTTTATGATCAGTCTTCATTGAGTGATCACTTTTATGATCATTTTTAAATAGGGATAGTGATAGAATCTCTCATAGGGTTATTGAGAGGATTAAATGAGATGATGCAAGTAAAAGTCAAAGTATGTTACTTAGTAGTAGTTGTCATTGTAATATCATTGGATATGCAGAAAAAATATTATTTGACTTGAGCATAATAATTTTCATTAGTAGTTTTAATCATATCATTGTGGTTGTTGTTAGGTGCTGTCGAGTGTGTTCCCACTCATAGCTACCCTATGTACAACAGAAGGAAACACTGCCCGGTCCTGCATCATCCACTCAATAGTTGCTATGCCTGACCCCATTGCTGCAGCCACTGTGTCAATCCATCGCATTGAGGATTTCCCTCTTTTTCACTGACCCTCTACTTTACCAAGTATGATGTCCTTCTCCAGGGACTGATCCCTCCTGATAACATGTCCAAAGTATGTGAGATGTAGTGTCGTCATCCTTGCTTCTAAGGAGCATTCTGGCTGTACTTCTTCCAAGACAGATTTGTTTGTTCTTTTGGCAGTCCATGATATATTCAGTATTCTTCGCCAACACCACAACTCAAAGGTGTCAATTCTTCTTCAGTCTTCCTTATTTATCATCCAGCTTTAGCAAGCATATGAGGCGATTAAAAACACCATGGCTCATAAAACAAAACGAGACTAATGGGGCCAACAGTCCAGGGACAAGAACTAGAAGACAGGAGGGGACAGGAAAGCTGGTAATAGGGAACCCAAGGTCAAGAAGGGACAGTGTTGACATATCGTGGGGTTGTTAACTATTGTCATAAAACAATATGTGTACTAACTGTTAAATGAGAAACTATTTGTTCTGTAAACCTTCATCTAAGGTACAATAAAAAAAAAAAAAAAACCCACCATGGTTTGGGTCAGGCACACCTTAGTCTTCAAGGTGACATCTTTGCTATTCAACACTTTAAAGAGGTCTTTTGCAGAAGATTTTCCCAGTGCAATGCATCTTTTGATTTCTTGACTGCTGCTTCCATGGGTGTTGATTGTAGATCTAAATAAAATGAAATCCTTGAACTTCAATCTTTTCGCCATTTATTGTGCTGTTACTTATTGGTCCAGTTGTGAGGATTTTTGTTTTCTTTTGAGATGTAATCCATACTGAAGGCTGTGGTCTTTAATCTTCATCAGTAAGTGCTTCAAGTCGTCTTCACTTTCAGCAAGCAAAATTTTGTCATCTGTGTAACGCGGATTGTTAATGCATCTTCCTTCAATCTTGATGCCCTGTTCTTCTTCATAGAGTCCAGCGTCTCGGATTATTTGCTCAGCATACAGATCGAATAGGTATGGTGAAAGTTACAACCCTGACACACAACTTTCCTGACTTTAAACCACGCAGTATCCCCTTGTTCTGTTTGAACCACTTCCTCTTGATCTACATAGAGGTTCCTCATGAGCAAAATTAAGTGTTCTGAAATTGCCATTCTTCACAATGTTATCCATAATGTGTTATGATCCACACATTTGAATGCCTTTGCATAGTCAATAGAACACCGGTAAATATCTTTCTGGTATTCTCTGCTTTCAGTCAGGATCAATCTGACATCAACAATGATATCCCTGGTTCCACATCCTCCTCTAAATTCAGCTTGAATTTCTGGCAGTTCCCTGTTGATATATTGCTGCAGCCACTTTTGAATGATCTTCAGCAAACTTTTACCTGCATATGGTATTAATGATATAGTTCAATAACTTCTGCATTCAGTTGGATCACCTTTCTTGGGAATAGGCATAAATATGGATCTCTTCCAGTCGATTGGCCAGGTAGCTGTCTTCCAAATTTCTTGGTATAAAGGAGTGAGCACTTCTAGCGCTGCATCCTTTTGTTGAAACATCTCAATTGATATTGTGTCAGTTCCTGGAGGCTTGTTTTTTGCCAATGCCTTCAGTGTAGCCTGGACTTCTTCCTTCAGTATCATCAGTTCCTGATCATATGCTACCTCCTGAAATGCTTGAGCGTCGACCAGTTCTTTTTGGTATAGTGACTCTGTGTATTCCTTTCATCATCTTTTGATGCTTCCTGAGTTGTTTAATATTTTCCCCTTAGAATCCTTCATTATTGCAACTCGAGGCTTGAATTTTTTCTTCGGTTCTTTCAGCTTGAGAAATGTCGAGTGTTTTTCCCTTTTGGTTTTCTATCTCCAGCTGTTTGTACGTGTCATTATAATACTTTACTTTGTCTTCTCAAGCTGACTTTTGAAATCTTCTGTTCAGCTCTTTTTCTTCATAATTTCTTCCTTTCTCTTTAGCTACTCAACATTCAAGAGCAAGTTTCAGAATCTCTTCTGACATCCATTTTGACCTTTTCTTTCTTTCCTGTCTTTTTAATGACCTCTTGCTTTCTTCATGTATGATGTCCTTGATGTCATTCCACAACTAGTCTAGTCTTCAGTCATTAGTGTTCAACGCATCAAATCTATTCTTGAGATGGTCTCTAAATTCAGGTGGGATATCATATATTGTGAATTTTAATTGAAATGCATACTTGCAACCAAGTACATTTGAGGGTACAGAACCCAGAGAGATTAAGCTACTTGTCCAAGCCCCTTTAGAAAACAGAATAATAAACTCATTCTTTGATAAAGAACAATATGAAATCAGAAATACGAATCTCACTTTAAGAAAAGAATTTAATTAAAGATGAACTGGAAGCAAATCACTAAAAGTTCTTCTGATTATTCTGTGATAGCTGTAGTGAGATAAAGAGGGGCTTTTCATGAGTGGAGACACATACTTCCCATCAACACTTGAGGACCTAGAGCCACTTTACACCCGAGGGGCACTGGTGCTTGGTAGTAATGTTGAAATGGTAAATGTTTTGTTAAATATATATTTACCACGATTAATATATATAGACAGAGACATATGTGTGTGTGTATACTCATACATACATACTTAAAAAAAAACAGTTACAGTCAAATCGACTCCAACTCAGGGTGACCTATGTGTGTCAGAGTAGAACTGTGCTCATAGGGCTTTCAATGGCTGATTTTTCAGAAGTAGACCTCCAGGCCTTTCTTCTGAGGTGACTCTGGGTAGATTAGAACTTCCGACCTTTTGGTTAGCAGCTGAGAACGTAAACAGTTTGTACCACATACATGAATATACACAAACATACACATACACATACATGCACACATACACATATACATATATATAGATATATATTACACTGTGAATGCAGAGGATGTGCTCAGAATGAATTCTATTGAATCACTAAGGGTAGTATTTTTGAACTTTAATTTTTTGTCTCCTGTACAGGCGATGTTATGATTATAAGACGCTATTCCATTTCCTCATCAGTTCTTTCGTTTGCTACAATTGATCCCTGGAAAACTGGCAAAAAACTTCCAATTACTGGAATTCTAAAATCTCAAGAAACAGTTAAATCACTGGTTAGTTCTTCAGTTAAGAAGCAAGACAATGAAGAAAAGATGTTTGCAGCAGATTCTTATACCGGCAATAGTTTCAGCCAAAGAGCTTTACCTGAACATGCTTTTGGCTGCAGGTAATGAAAAGTATGTATCAAGGTAGTATACAGGTGTATGGTGTGATTGTTACTGAAATATTCCCCCTGGATAATCTGGATCTTAGCTAATGGAGGACACAAATCCAAATAGCATATTAGGCCAGAATAATTTCCATCTCACTTATGTTCATTTTGGGAAATCAAAAGAGACAAACTTATTTGAGATCAAATGGCACTCTCTAATAGATGTCTCTAATAAGTGGAAAACTTAGTCTTGATTTATTTATCAAATATTAATGATCATACAGTGAGGTAGACACCGGTGATACAAAATTCAGCAAGAGATAAAACCCTATGCTCAAAACACTCAAGTAATGACAAAGACTCACATATAAACTGACCATCACAATAATGTGCATCTCAGGGAGATGAGACAGTTATTTTAGGAGCTGACCACAGAATTCCTCTCTGAGAGAGAACTTTCTTCATGTAGGCAGAGTCTTATAGGCTTTTGGGGAAGTACTGAAAAAAGGACTCTTTATGCATAACCCAAAAGAGCCAAGAGACAAAGAGATAACTGAACTGCACTTTAAAATACATGAATTGGTATTCAAGGAGTTGGGAGCAACTTGAGAATCGGAGAGTTTGAGAAAATATTTGAGGGTGAGGCTGGAAGTCTTTGCAGAGAAACTTAGCCAGTGGTCCCTGTAGTGGGTGAGGCCAAGAGCTCTTTCAGAACAAGGTTGTCTAATGCCAAGTATTAATTGATCGTCTCTGCTGGAGCTTGGCCTTCGCTCTCACACATTCCACATTCTTCTCGTCCAACTCCATTAGACCCTGACTCTTAAGCAAAAGACTTCTGCACATTTGTCTTGTGTAAGTGCAAGGAGGAAAATCAAGGAAAAGAGTCTGGGTTTCTTGATTAGCTTATCACAGGGAAGAGAAAGTGGAACAAACATGGCTATTGGAAGAATAGTGAATCATCAAATTCAGCAGTGGCAGGAAATCAAATCATGGCAGAGTCACAAGTACTAGGCCTGCAGGAATTCTCATAAATATTAGCAAGAGCACTGGACTTCCCACAGGATGTGAGATAGGAAGGTTGAGCCAGTCATATTCGAAATTCAGAAGACAGGATGAAAATGATGTTTCACTTGTAGAAAGTTCAATCATAGAAGCAGGGAGAGTAACCTGAGTCGAGAAGGACAACTGAACTCAGCCAGGCAAAGAAAACCGGCAAGAGCTTCACAGGCAGAGCAAAAATTATTACTAATCAAAAGGAGTTTACTATACCTGTCTTCTCTAGTCCTCCCCAAAAGCAAGTATCATCAGGAATTTTGTTTCTATTCTTTCACTCTTTGTTTTTATGCTTTTATTATATATATTCATTTATTTATCAAAGTATAGCTTGAGTGTGTACTACGTGCTATGCACAATTGTAGGCCCTAATCATACAACAGAGAACAAAATTGTCAAAAATCCCTGCTCATGTGGCACTTATATTCTATGCAACATGATATTAAATAAACATGGAAATATGTAAAGTGCATATTTAGTTAGATGGAAATAAGTACTAAAGAGAAAAATAAAGCAATAAAAGGCAAAAAGAAGCGTTAGAGGAGAAAGCATTGTTGAAATTGTTTTATATCATGATCAGAACATGTCTCACCATTTGAATCAAGAAGGAAGGGCGTGAGTCCTGAGGATATCTGAGGGAAGAACATCCCAGGTCCTGAGACGAACAAATGCAAAGGACCTGGGTACGTTGAAGGAAGATTAAGGAGGCCAGTGTGCCTGGAATGCAGCAAGCAAGCCAGAGAGCAGCAAGACATGAAGGCCAACAGGCGAGGAGTGGCCTCCCATCTCCTACCACAGCTCTGAATTTGTTCTAAGTGAAATGAGGCACATAACATACTCTTTTCATTTTAAAAGGATCATATTCTGAGCCTGGTTGTGAGAAGACTGCAGGACAGCAATAAGAAGGCAAAGAGGCCAGTTATAAAGCTATAAGATAATCTAGACAAGGATGGTAACAGTTGTTGTAGTTTCTGGATATCGTTTGAAGGTAGAGCCAACAAGATTTGTTGACAGATCAGGTATGGGGAATGGAAACAAGAACTATACATCCAACCACTGGATTCCAATGGCCAAGTGTTATCAAAGAAGGAAGAGAAAAAATAGGCAGAGATATGTCCTTTGCCTTTGAAAAAGAGTAAAATCATTATTTCCAATTATAAAAGCGCTAAATGTTTATTGTAAAAAAAAATGGCAATTATAAAATATAAATACAATATAAAAGTAAAATGTATAAAAAAGAAAAATTCCTCCATAATCCCCCTACCCAAATAATCGCCATTTAGATTTTGATGTATATCTTTCCAGGCTTATGACTACATATTTTGAAATTGTACAGTGCATATATTATAATCTGTTTTTTTTTACGTTAAAACTATTACATTTTCACAGAACTGTAACCCTAACTGATAATTATAATAATATTAATTTTTATCATTTCCATTTATTTTATTGGCTATGATAGTTTGAGGACCTAGCCAACATGTATACTATGTTATTTTTCTGAACCGAAATGTTTTCCAAATTCCAAACCACCAATTAATAAACTATTTAGAACACAATCTATTCTAATTTAGAAACTGTTTTAATTTAAAAGATTGAGCCAATGTAGAATTGTGTTAAAACAAGAAAGTCTGTATTGGCTTAACATCAACAGCTGGGTTGGCATAATGCCTACTAGATACAGAGGACTATTGAGTAGGAGTTAAACATATGTTTTAGGGTTGTAGTCCTTTTTTTATTTTGTCTTTTACCTTCATAGAGAATAAATAGAAAAGTAACAGGTCAGGTTATTATTCCCCAATTGTCTGGTAAATTCATTTACTTTCTAATAGCTTTCAAAGAATTTTACAAAGATTTATCGAGAACCAATTTGCTTGAATTGGCTTTTCAATCATATCAGACACCATTCCTAATTTTCTTGTGAATCTTTCCATTATTATACCAAGAAAGCATTTTACAGAATAATTTCCATATCAATATTTTTAAGAACCAATGCTTTCCAGAAACTAGAGATAAGGTTTTAATTTTTTCTTAGATGTAGAAATCCAATCCACTCCTGTGCTTAAGAAAAAAGTAATCTCAGGCTATTGAAAAGATTAAGGAAAGGGATCCATGTAGACAGCTAAAATTAGAAATGCTGTTTTATTCATTTCCCTTATAGGAGAAACCAGACATATTAAAATAAATATATTCTCTCATTTTCCTAGAGCAAAGTGGCTAAGAAGTGAGCCTCTGTAATCAGACAACTAAAATCCTAACTCCACTTTACAAATTCCATGACCTTGGAAACCTTTTTAGTCTATCTTGGGCCACAGTTTACTCCTCTATAAAAAGAGAATCATAATAGAAATTACCTCGTAGTTTTTGTGAAGAATAAGGGTGATAGTAGAGTGAGTGCTTACTAAGTGGCAGTCATTATAATTTTATTGATCTCAGCATATGGAAATACTGGACTTCCTTCCAAGGGTGGAAGCAGATGGGTTTCCCCAGAAGAGGCCACCAAATGCCATTTAGTGAAATTGGTGCCTTCACTAACAAATGTTATTGTCAGCTGCCATTGAGTTGGCCCTGACTCGCGGTGACCTTATCCACGCACAATGGAACAAAATGCTGCCCAGTCTCCCACCATCCCCATGATGGGTTGAGGATTGGACTGTTGTAATACACAGTGTTTTCAGTGGCTGATTTTCAAAAGTAGATCTGCAGGCCCATCTTCCTAGTCTGTCTTACTCTGGAAGCTCTGCTGAAGCTTGTTTAGCATCAGAACAACAGCAAGCCTCCACTGAAAGACCCGTAGTGGCTGTGCATAAGGTGCATTGGTTGGGAATCGAACCCGGCTCTCCCATGTGGAAGGCAAGAAATCCACCACTGAACCAACAGGCAATCATTTTAAACAGTGTACTTTAGACTTACTCCTAAGAGCAATTGATCCCGATTTATGTCCAAAATCGGTGCAACACTGTTAGATGTAAAAGGAGAAGTGAGCAAAACAAAAAGACACAACCTCCCAGTTAACACTGAGTCATTTTTGTCTCTCCTCTCATCCCTTTATTATTCAGGTGTGGTAGATGTTCAGTTAGTTCAAAGTCAAAAAGGAGCAGAGTGATCTGAATTACAAGCTAACTGCCTCAACTCTAACTGCATTTCAACTGCAGAGCTTGGATGTGTAAGACCTTTGCCTAAGAAGTGCAATGTTATTCTGCTTTAAACATCAAGCTAATTATCTTAAGGATAATAGACACTCCCTCAATCATTTTAAACTTTAGTTTTGTAAGCATAACTCATTGTGCTTAATTAAAAGATCAATTCCAAAATGTTTTCTTACATCATTGTCGAACAACTAAACACAGAAGTATTATATATAATACATTTTAAATGAACATTTAACATACTACACAGTATTTGGTGACTTGGAAAAAACAGTAAATACTTTGGATAAAGGTTCACTAATTTTTTTTTTTTAATTTCCCTTATTCTGCTTTGTTTAGGGACAAGATAAAGACGGTCAGTTTTCTATTACCCATGGACATGTCTGCATATTCCAAAAATTCAAGTTCTTTGAAATACTCACCAAATCAGACCACAAACCAGCTAAGCACCATTGTGGAGTAGGATATGTGATTTCCAAGAGATGGGAATGCTAAGGCCTAGCTGGGTCAGTGTCCTCGCCTGCAAAGAGCTCTGGCCAGATGCCCAGTAAGACATACAAAATCCTTGGTACCAGGTCACTGGATTCTGTTGGGCAAAAAAAATGGAAGCTATTACTTTTTGCTGTTTTTGAGTATGAATGTCTGATCTGTGTACAGTGGCTATTGTAGTCTGTCTACTTATCACGTGAGCAATTAAATGTGATTCACACTAAACATACAGTCTCTGTATTATGCCATCAGGAAATGCTGCTGTTCACGTTATAAGGGTCACTTTCCAGTTGAAACTTTAACAAGTCTTTTAAAAGTTCTGGTTTTTATTAAAGGCATAAAAAAATTAGTGATTCTTCTTACAGTTTATTGCATGTTGATATTTCACAGATATCAATTCACTTGGCCTTTTAATGTACTTGTGTCACAGATGTGTGTACACAAACCAACAGACTACCATCACGTACGTTATGAACTCAGAGGAACCATGGACTGGCTAAATGCAAAGAAATTAATCCTGATTGGAAGGAGAGAGAAAAAGATTCAAATGATCAACACTGAAGGACTGGGAATTCTCAGAAACGCCCTCAATTCCTGAAATTCTAGTCAAGAGAGTATCACCTCTTCCTGGTTTGTAGCAATGATGCCCCATCTCAGACGTATTAAAATTGACTGGGGGATGGAGGGGGGAACAGAGAGAGGGAGAAACTCTTAAGAGAAGATCAGAAACTCACATTTTAAACAAGCTTCCCAAGATAATATCGATGGCCGCCACATTTGTGATCTACTGTTATAAATATAAGAAACATGGTCCAGAGCTCCCTAGATCTGGACCCAGGTTGAAATGGAAGCAATCAATCAAGGAAAGACCCAAAATGGTCCAAACCTTTCTAGGAAGGGATTTTAATAGTCACAGAAATCTCCTAGAAAGGGACAGATGAATCAACTAAGACCCTGGGGTAAAAGTCACCTAATAGGATCAAATGCTTCTTTTACTCATGATATTCAGTTAAGATTAACTATATTTTGAACATTATAACAGGTGTACAATAAGGCAAGTTTACAACTAGAGGGGACAGATACAAATGAGATGTAAAAAACATATTCAAATCAGAATAAAGACACATAGATAGCTAATAATTAAGCCATTAATGAGATTGCTGGTATTTTTAGTTTATGTACAATTATATTCTCTGGATATTTACAAAATGGAGAATTTGATGCAACATCAGTTAAAATAAACACTTCTGAAACAGGGAAAAAAATAACAATGAATGACAACCCAAGTTACAATATCATAACTGGCAAAGTTATAATGACAAATTATCCTAGTGCCATGCTCAATGACTGGTATATAATAGGCACTTCATAGATGTTCAGAGTCCCTGGGTGATGTAAATGTTAATGCACTTGCTTCAAACCAAAAGGTTGAAGGTTTGAATCTATGCAGAAGCATCTGGAAGAAAGGCCTGGTGATCTACTTCTGAAAAATCATCCATTGAAAATTCTTGAAATTCTCCACACCTGGTTTGGTTTATTTGGTTCATATATGTGCATTGAACTGAACTGAATTAACAGTTACATGAGTCTAACGCTGCCCAGTGAAATATTCTGCATCAACAAATTTTAAACATTAAAATTAAATCATTTAATATTATGATTAAAGAAACAAAACCCTATCTCTGCTCCCTGGTTTGTTATATTGTTTGATTGTAAGCCCTCTGAGCAAGTGGTTGAATGTGATAAGCTACAAAGCTCATGAAAGCCATCTCATTCATGCTCTGATCAATCAATTACATTTATATCTATCTTTTCCTCTTACTGTCCATAATTCCAGCGGTATGTGTCAAACTGTAAGTAAGTCCAGGATTATGAACTCAAACGCCTACCAGGCTCAGGCAAGTAACAGAAATGCATGGGGGTGCTGGAGAGCTCACCTGGGCATGCCCCAGCTAAAGGGATCTTAGGCTACTCACCTTTGTGATGTTTTGTGGCAAAGCAGACAGTATTGCCAGATGGCCTGTTTTTCGAGAAACTTATAAATCAGCATGTTTGTGCAAAGTGTCTTGATTTGTAAATAGTGTTCTCTTGTTCCATTTTTAAACACTATGAAAACCAAATACAGCATATATGGGGACCACATGTAGCCCATAAACAACAAACAACAAACCAGTTGCCATTAAGTTGATTCCAACCCACGGCGACCCCGTGTGTGTCAGAATAGAACTGCGTTCCACAAGATTTTCAATGGTTGTGGTCTTTTGGAAGTAGACTGTCAGACCTTTCTTCCAAGGTGACTTTGGGCAGATTTGAACTACTAACCTTTCAGTTAGTAGCCGAGCCGAGTGCTTAACCTATTGTTTCACCCATGTAGACCCTAGGACACCAGTTTTCAAACTCTGATTTAAATCTGATTTCCTAAGCATAGGGATCCAGAATAAGGTAGTGGATCTGGAAAGCTACAATTTGAAGAATGGAAAGGGGAGACGGAAGTTTGGGGTTGGGGTATGATAAAACACTCTGGGAAAGAAGAGGTAGGTAGTTATTGTAGTTAACAAATAATGTTCTGTCATATTCCTTTCTCAAGAATCTGCGTGTTCTCCTGCCTGCAGCCATACTTAATTTTTAAATATCAATGAAGGAAAACATTCATTCATTCAAGCTGTGTTTGGAAAAGCATGTAGTCAAATAATACTCTTTCTTACATAGAAATGAATAACAGACTTTTGCAGTTTTATTTCTTCTCTGGTTTCTGCCTTTATCATTAGTGCCACAGGACAGTCAAAATATTTCATGACTGCAATAATACATTTACAAAAGAAAGACTGAGTTTATCCAATCTTGTATGCATATACTAAGAAGTCTGATACTATTAAAACTGTTGTTGTTAGGTGCCATTGGGTTGGTTCTGACTCATAGCTACCCTATGTACAACAGAATGAAACACTGCCCAACCCTGCACAATCCTCATAATCATAGCTATGTTTGAGCCCATTGTGGCAGCCACTGTGTCAGTTCATATCATTGAGGGTCTTCCTCTTTTTCGCTGACCCTCTAATTTATGAAGTATGATGTCCTTATCCAGGGACCGGTCCCTCCTCATAGCATGTCCAAAGTGTGGGAGACGAAGTCTCACCATCCTTGCTTCTAAGTAGCATTCTGGCTGTACTTCTTCCAAGACATGTTTGTTCGTTCTTTGGCAGTCAATGGTATATTCAGTGTTCTTAGTCAACACCATAATGCAAATGCATCAATTCTTCCTTTGTCTCCCTTATTCTCATTATCCAGCTTTTGCATGCATATGATGTGATTGAAAATACAGTGGCTTGGGTAAGGCACACCTTAGTCCTCAAAGTAACATCTTTGATTTTAACACTTTAAAGAGGTCTTTTGCAGCAGATCTGTCCAATGCAATATGTTGTTTGGTTTTCTGACTGCTGTTTCCATGGGCATTGATTGTGGATCCAAATAAAATGAAATCCTTGGCAATTTCAATATTTTCTCCATTTATCATGATTCTGCTTATTGGTCCAGTTGTGAGGGATTTAGTCTTTATATTGAGGTATAACCCATACTGAAAGCTGTAGTCTTTGATCTTCATCAGCAAGTGCTTCAAGTCCTCTTCACTTTCAGCAAGCAAGATTGTGTCATCTGCATATCATAGTTTGTTAATGAATCTTCCTTCGATCCTAATGCTCCTTTCCACATAGCCCAGCTTCTCAGATTATTTACTAAGCATACAGATTGCATACATATGGTGAAAGGATACAACCCTGACACACACCTTTCCTGATTTTAAATTATGCAGTACCCCCTGGTTCTGTTCAAATGATTGCCTCTTGCTCTATGTCCGTGAGCACAGTTAAGTGTTCTGGAATTCCCATTCTTCAAAATGTTATCTACAATTTGTTAGGATCCACACAGTCGAATGTCTTTCCATAGTCAATAAAACCCAGTAAACATCTGTGGAGTTTCTATTAAAACTACCTTGCATTGACATTGTCATCATTTACTAATTGCTGTATCTTTTTCCCTGTTTTAAGTCTTTAAGCCTTGTTTTATTACTGAGAGTTCTTTACGTAAGTTGGTATCTGGTTGATGCTGTCTTGTGTCTTAGACACAAGTTGTTGTCTGATGCTGTTGATTCTCTAACCAAAGGATTCCCCTTAATATTTCTTGTAAGTTTCGTTTGGTTTTCCTTTAATTTGTGTTTATCTGGAAATGTCCTAATTTCATCATATTTGACTGAGAGTTTTGCAGGATATATTATTCTTGTTTGACAATCTTTTTTTCCTTTCTAGGTTTTATATATATCATCCCATTGCTTTCTTGCCTGCCTCGTTTCTGCTGAGTAATCAGAGCTTAGTTTTATTGTTTCCCCTTTGTAAGGGACTTTTCATTTTTCTCAAGCTGCTGTCAGGATTCTTTGTCTTTGATTTTGGCAAGTGTGATTATTATATGTCTTGGTGACTTTCTTTTGGGTCTATTTTATTTGGGGTTTATTGAGCTTCTTGAATGGCCAGCTTTTTGTCTTTCATAATATTTGGGAAGTTTTCTGCCAGCAAATCTTCAACAATCTTCTCCATGTTTTCAGTTTTCTCCCCCTGTTCTGGAACTCCGATCATGGGAAAATTTTTGCTCTTGATTGTGTCACACAAAATTCTTAGGTTTTCTTCATGTTTCTTCTTTCTTTTCTCTGATCTTTCTTCAAACAAAGTGGTGTCCATGGATTTGTCTTCAATCGCGCTAATTCTGTCTTCCATTGTTTCAAATTTGTTCCTAAGGCTTTCTATTGAATTGACTATTTCTGAAATTTTATCTTTTGGATTTCTAGTTTTTGTTTTTGTATGACTTCTAATTGTTTTATTATGATGTTTTGTTCTTGTATTGTTTCCTTGAATTCTTCTATTGCTTTGTCTGTGTTTACCTTGATTTTGGCAATGTTTTAATTGGTTTCGGCTGTGTTTTCCATAA